TTTGGTTGTCACCATGGCATGATCTGCTGCCGTTGATTGGTCTTCTTCGCCGTGTCAAAAATCGACATGTTGTACCTGCAACTGTTTACCTTTCCTGAGGTCAAACTTAACCTCAAGAAAAGTTTATCATAAACTGATCCTTCCTACGAATTCTCAAATCATCTGTGTTTGAGAATCGAAGCGCTGAACATACTGAAAATGACTGATAAGTCTTGTCTTATTAGACAGACCATCTTCGATCTTAACATGACTGACCTGAATATTCTCATGACTGCATAACCATGACTGAACTCTTACATGACTGAATCCTTTTTACTTTAAATGCTGAAACTATCCCAAGATAATAAAATAATCATCTCGGAATTTGGAACATGACATTTACTGACTGATTTAACTTTGATAAGGTACGACTTCAAGTTTCCAGGTAAATCTGAACTGATAGTCTGTATCTCAAATCGCCACATTTTACCCGGCTGAAATACTATTATACATCGACCTTACTTCATGAACATAAACTGTAAATCGTGAACATTGACTCATGACTGTGTACTATATAGGGCTGCTCCAGTATCAACTGGTCCCGCAAGTACAGAATAATTAACTGATCTTAAACTTTGGCAATGAACTTTCAGAGTATCTGACTGATAAGATACCTGACTTAGCTGACTCTAAAGGTTGTTACTTCTAGAACTGTGCTGCTCCGGTTCCAGCTTCAAGCCTCCATGGTATACCCGGCTTAGTGGCTCTTATTTCAAGCCTCCATGGCAACCCGGACTTTTGGCTCTTATACACTGAAAAACCGTTACTTGAGAAAACTTGAAAATTTAACAACCTTTAATATGAAAACTTATTGCCCTGAACTTGCTTTACTGACTTGACTTAGGAAAATTGAACTTATTCCCAGTCTAACTCAAGGAATTCCTTCCTTGGAATATGCCAACTAATTGGCAAAACAAACAATTTTCAATAGAAAAATGTCTGAGAAACATGATTGCTAAGATTTGTATAACATAATTGTTTACAAATTACTGAATGAGGCATTAACTTAATCTGAATAAATCTAGAATGGAATCTAGGGTTCTCAATCCTAGCCCCTTTCTAGAGTTCTGAAATCGTACTTGAATCCCCTCACTGATGACTTTATTGAAGCTGATCAATGAAGGACACAAATCTCTTGACGAGTAGCTAAACATGACTGGGGAATACTGATATAAA